ACGCGATAGAAATTCTTGTCATAGATTTGAGAAATAAACTTTGAAAGTTTTGTTTTGAATTGAATTTGTGGCATTTTCTTGACTTATAAATGTGTGTGCCCAATTACGTCTTTTTTTTTATATTAGCTTTTTATTCTCTCATGTTCTTATAAACTTAACACATTCTGAATAGTTAGTGTTTTATTTTTAATTTCTTTTTCTTTGTTTACAGATATTCGGGGCAATTGATACAGGGTGTCTCATAAGTTCTGGCAGATTTTTTTAAATCTAATTTTTGATGATAATGAATACAAATTAAACTCAAACTTATACATATGACACGGCTTAGCATGTACTTTTATTTCATATATTTTATTTGGATTAGATCATTGAATATACAAGAAAATAAACAAATTCAATGAACATACCCTCCATTGACAAATATCAAAAGTCTGCATTTTTTCGCTACTTTGTTAGTTTTTTCTCCAATTACTATTCCTATGGGAGTAAGTTTTTACAAAAGAAATCACACATTCTGATAGCACTTGAAATGCTCTATGATATTATGTATTAATACAGTGTCTTAAATTTAAGTAGCGAAAAAAAATGCAAATTTTTTGGGCTAGTCGATTCGGAGTATATTCATTGTATTCAATTTTATTTCAATCTATAAATGCAAGAAAATAAGTAAATAGACAGGGTGATAGAGAATTTTAAGCTCTATCAGAATCTATAGTTACTTTTTCATACAGATCATTCTATACGGATGAAAAATTTTTAAAACTAGTTTTGATGACGAAGGAAAGATCAAGTCTGGGAACCTGGACATGAGGGTGCCTTCGTTGTCTTCAATTTATTTTGGTAATGAAAAGGTCAAAACTAAAACCTAATTCTACAGAATGATAGAAAACTCCGCGAGCTTTCAGAATATGTAATTAGTTTTAAAATAACTTATTTTTATAGTGACAATATATGAGAAATACAGAGTGAAACTTTTGTCGGGGTATATATATTGTAACACATTGATGGTGTGCTTATTTTGCACATGTACCAATTTCTTTATTTTTTTGTATATCCAATGATTAAATTCAAATAAAATATATGAAATAAAAGTACATGTTAAGTTGTATGATACGTGTAAGTTTGAGTTTGATTTGTATTCATTATCATCAAAAATTAGATTTAAAAAAATCTGCCACAACTTATGAGACACCCTGTATCATAGTCAAGTACTTTTGAAATAGATCCTGTCCTTTTTGTCTGTTTTCTGTAGTTGTCTTTTTTGTGAACTCGATAGAAAAAAAACACGACCGCATATGTTAACAACTGAAAACCGCTCTTATCTTTGGAGTTTTTCAAGTCTGTATTGAATTCAGATTAACGACTCTCTAATTTATTGACTTTTGAACTTCGCAGTAGCCTTTGTTCGCATTTTAGAAATAAAAAAATACGCCTCTTTTTTTATTTCTACAAATGACGTTCCTCTTTTTCTACGAACTATCGGGGGATACCAGTATGACTATCATCATCATGCTTCTTTGACAATAAAATAACTTCTCCAATATGACTATTATCATATATAACACTTTGATGTCTAGTTTTAATCGATGCAAAAAAATATGATACTGACTTATCACTTAATTTAGTATTTTTGTTTAAAATTTTCAAAATAATCATCTAATAACAACACTTTTTTTTTCTTCATGAAACTAAGAAGAATGGTGTTCAGAATATATCAATTGAAGGCTAACATTAAAAACTGCTCAATATCTTTGTGTCATTTGATATCATTAATAATCCATACGTATAAAAAAACAACGTACTACGTCATCACATGTTGTCTTACTCATTTCTTATCTGACAATCTATGACCCTCTATGCTTTTGATTAATACAATGTGCAAGCTTACTTGACAGTTAAAATCATCAGTTATCTTATTATTTAATCAGTTTAAATTGTAATTAACAAGAATAAAAATAATCTATGTCACATGAATCAACGATCTATCGATAAAAACAAGACGCTTATTTTTTCATCAAAGATTGTAATACAAAAGCCTATCGGATTTTTTTCTTTTGAAGTTGCTGGATTTTCTTTGAAAATCCGAATTTTTTTTCATATTATAGACTCGGAAAGCATTATGATTTTGATCATATCAATTGAAACAATTGATTTTCAGCTGTCATTTGAAAAATGTCTATTCAAAATTGTGCTTGAGCAATGATCTCTTATATGAAAATGTCTGTCACTCTTAGCAATTATTTTCTAAATATAAGAATAATGAAACATGCAGAGAGGATATGAGCCATCTATTAATTTTCATTCATCTCTAAACAATCTTATATTATAGTTGTAGATTAATGTTAAAACAAGAAATTATTTTGTTTTGTTTTTTTTTTGCTCTACTTTTTATTCTATTTGGTATCATAAGGTTGAAAATTTATTTTCGTGATAAATAACAATAAAAGCTATTTTTATTTCAGGAATGATCTCTTCCGAATCATTCACAATAATCTTATCAAAGTTTCATGTCATTCTATTGCAATATATTTGAGTAGTAGTCATGAAAAAGAAAATGTTGCGATGAAAAATCCTAGATAATTTTAATTCTGCTTTGTTTTCGCTTATCTTTTAAAATTCTCGAATGTTTTATATATATATTGGACTATGCACTGCAAATTTGTTTGTTTGTTTTACATTCATCGATATAAACCCATTAATTGCATAAACCAATCGTAGCAGCCAATAATAATGTAGGGTTTTTGTAATACTCATCCCTAAGAATGAAACTTTTATCATCAACATTGATGTCAATCAGGGGCAAATAACGACCAAAATATATTATTATGATAAATATGTCCAATCAAGCAGAAACAATCGATAAATTCCGAGACTCTTATTTTCGAGTATATATATTTAAAAAAAACCTAGCTATAATTTCGTAGTTTGTTGATTGAGTTATTCAATGTTATATGAATAATACAATTAACATTATCATTTCCTTGTTTTTTTTTGTATTATTTTTAGATCTCTATCTTCAAATTTTATAATTAAGATAAATAAAAATGAAATTATCATTTTGTCAATGTCGAAGATGGCATAATTTACCACAGAATAAAAACAACATTTATCAACGATTATACGCTGCCACATATCGATCATTATCATCATTATTACCTCCAATCTGTTCTCAAGTTTTATTCAATGATAATAATATACAATCTAAATATATATCTCCAAAAGGTTTATCTGGTCGTGTTATACCGATTGGAACATTTCCAAGAACAATTTTAGCTCTTCAATATTTATACGGAACATATCAGCAGAAGAATATGGTATTCAATCATTTGATTTAGTACGCATTGCTTATGATGAAAAATATTTGATCACACACATTGAATTTATAGCACATTTAAGTAATAATATACGATTAACTTTTTTTACAACTGTTGCTTTTGATAAAGATTATAAAGTATGTGGATATGATGGACAAAATACGAAATGTTGGATTAACATTAGATCCACGGTCAAATGAACAACGTGAAGCAAAAATAAATACGATATGTAATGTTACACAAAGATTCTGTACTGGAACATTACAACAATATTCAAGTTTCAATGATTGTCAACAATTTTTAAGAACACAAATACCTTATGGTTCATATGATAGAGCAGATCAAGGAAATGTTATTTGCCGTTTTGTTCGTACATATTTTGTACCTTTATTACCATCTATACATTGTCCACATGTGGGTCCAACTGGAGGAGAAGCATGTACTGATAAAACAATCGACTTTTATTATAATCAACCAAATTTTCTGGCTTGTGCTCATAAACAATAATAATCAAATAAAATCATGTTCTTTTCTTTTCAATTTAAAGTTTAAATAATAAATTGATATCATTCATAAATAATTACGCGAAAACTAAGATGTATGCAGTCATGAGAAGGATGTAAAACTGATTTGGTAATTCGACTTGATAACTGTACTTCTTTATTAACTTAACATAATCTAATTTCAATATATTTATTTATCAGTTGATCAGAATTTTCTACAAAGTATTTGTTGAGAAATAACTATGTGGAAAACAAATGTCATAGATTCATAAAAACTGAGAACAAAATTACATTATTCAAATTTCTATACGAGTCATTTTTCATCATTATATAATCATAGAAATCACAATAGTATAAGCAATGGTCATATCATAATACAAAATAATTGAAAGTTTCAATCATCTTTAAGAAAGTACAGTTGACAGTAGTGTCTTATTATTTTGTTTAATTTCTTTTCTTTTTCATTGTTCTGTCATGTTGTATATGTGAATTGAAAAGAAGATTTGTATAAATACTTTGATTTATTTTTGTTTCATTGAATGTTTCATCTTTTTTACTGAAAGTTTAAAAGAATTTATTGAGGTAAAACTTTCTAAAAATAAAAAAAAATGTGGCTTTTTAATGAAAGCGAAGAAGTTACCATAACTAAGTTCGACCTTGCTTGAGAATTTTATCAGATAGTTTATTTATTTGTAATTCAAAAAAAAAGAATCTTAACAAGATATATCTTCAATGTTACACAAAGAATTTGTTCTCTGAGACTTTACGAAAGAGTTACGTTGCATTCTTATTTCAATTCTCACTACATGAAATAGTGAAGTGAATAAAAAATCATATTGTAGAGTGTGTTTTACTGTATCTTTTCATCATAAAGACAAATTTTACAAGTATCGAATCAAGTTTTCTGGTTTGTTCTTTATGCAACGAAAAAATAATTTAAGAAATCGTAATCACAAAAAATGGTCTAATGTGTACATGTTCATTATTGTGTTTTCTGGATGAACTTGTATTTTTTTGTTTTTTGTTAACAAGTAAATAGCTTCTCGTGAATTTTCAGCTACAATACTGCATTTTAATGAGTAGTTTCGTCAAGAATAGAAAACAAGTTATAAGCATAGTTTCTTGTTTTCGCATTACAAGAATTCTTGATAGAATAATGTAAACAAATCTTTTTATGAAGTCGGTGCTAGTAGCATATTTAGAAATACGAATGATAACAAGAAAGACAAATACAACGATCAATGACAACAGCAACTAAAAATTGATACAGAAGCCGTTTCGAATTATTTCCGAGCAAAACTTTTATCGTTGACCCATTGAAAAAGATCCCTAAATATGACTCACCATCAAGTGATGATAGTACAACATCAACAATTTATTAATATGAGTTGAAAATTTTTATTTAAAATAAATATGTTCTAAAAACTCTGAATATCAGTCCTTAAAATTAGAATAACCATTATGAAAACAGTAATCTATTTCTTTGGAACTATCATCTATACCTGATAAATCATTACAAATAGTAACTATAAATTCAACATCAATATCTTTATCATAAAGACTATTATTATCAATCAAGTGATATTTCGAAAAGAATTCATATATGAAAACAAATATATATTCGAAAATATTTTACAATAAAGCTCGTTTAGTAATTAATTAATGGAGAGCTTCATTAAAAACTCAAACATGTACATGTCTTGTAACGCGATTTAACATCAGATATACAATATCTAGATTGTTTTTTACAAATTAAACTAACTCTTTGGGATGGTGGAACGTGTTCACATAATTGTTGATCTTGAGGATGTGACTTGTAAAATGACAAAAAAAAGCCATTTGCGATGAATAATCCATACGTATTCTTATATGTTGTTTGAAATTCATTGATGAAAATTGTGCTTTTAATTCATGAAAATAACATGATGAGAAGGATGAAAAAGAAAGACCTTGAATTCTATAAAAAGGATTCAAATCGTACAAAACTAATGAAAGTAATGAAGAAATCTTAGTTTTCGAAAATAATCATCATAATGCAATGAAAATGATGTCAAAGAAAAGAATGAAATTTCCTACATGGAAATTCAAACAATAACCATTGAAATGAATTGTTTTTGTTTTCTTTTTTTTTTAGTCACTGAGTTACGGCTGTGAATGTGATGTAAATAGAACAAGTACATATTCATCGTCGACTGACGATAAATTGATCGTCGATGATTATCTATTAATCATTATCATTGAGTGATAGTTCATGTTTTTCAAATATCCTATATAAGGAATGATTTTCTTGTATAAAATCATTCAATTCAATCGATCTATTGTATCAACAATAGATTGAATAAGTATTCTAATAAATTGTTTTATTTTTCAGAAGGTGCAAGATACAATTATGTACATAATTATGATATTTATACATTTACATATTACATATATATATATTCCAATCTTAAATAGGGTATGTTGTTTCTTTTTTTTTTCGTATTGGGATAAAAAATTTATAAATAAGTTGAAAAGTTCTATTGGCCACTAGAACTTTTCAAGTTATTTTTTTCTTTCATACTTGTGTTATTATGTAGAGAGGGATAGGTACTATTTTATATCACAGCCCGTCAGATGGCTTCGTAATCTGACCCAGGGAGATTTCTTGTGCCTATGTTGGCGAAAGCAGTGGAGTACTCGGGAAGACCGTCTGTTCGTAGGTCCCTGTCGCCGTTTACGTACGTCACACCTATGATCATGCCCTACCAGTCCGGCGTAGTCCGCTCTGCGTGTACCCATTGCGGGCTTACACAGAGTCTTCCTGGTCGCGCGTACGCGAGAATGACCCGAGAAAAGCCGGAAAAGCGAAATCAATTGTAATGCAAATAAATTTATTCAGCAAATCAAAACAAAAATTACAGCTTTTTCACATTGTTAATTCTTCGTATCGTTTCTTTAATATGAGGATGTGATGGCGGAAGTGTTTTTTGTTGGATAGCAAGCGCCTTCTCTAGAAATGAAAGTGCTTTTGAGTAATTGCCCATGTTGTTATACACTTCACCAATGTTGCCAAAAGAAGTAGCGAATGAGGAATGATTCGAAGGCAGAGCTTTTTCTTTAATTTGAAGTGATTTTTCGTAAAATTCAAGTGCTTTCGAGTAGTCACCCATGTCGCGGCACACTCCACCGATGTTGCCGTACGAAGTAGCCAAATCAGGATGATTCGAAGGCAGAGCTTTTTTTTCGATTTCTAGATCTTTTTCGTAAAATTCAAGTGCTTTCGAGTAGTCACCCATGTTTCTGTATACTCCACCGATGTTGCTGTATGAAGTAGCCAAATGAGGATGATTCGAAGGCAGAGCTTTT